GTGAGAGAATTTTGAATTCAAAGTTTATAAACGAATGTTAAAAATTGTCTTTACATGTAACTGGGGGAAATTAATTAATTAATTAATTAAAAACATTAAATGGATGAGTATTTACAAAAATATAAATTGCCCAGATTAACAAAAGAGGGAGCAGAATACTTAAATAACCCTATTTTAGAAAAAGGAATTGAGCAAGTCCTAAAGGAGCTCCCTAAGAAAACATTCCCAGGACTAGATGAGTTCACATATGAATCATACCAAACATTTAAAGAGCAATTAATCCCAATACTACATAAAGTACTTGAAAAAAAATATGTAAAGAAGGAGTCCTACCAAGTTCTTTTTAAGACAAAAATATAGTTTTGACACTTTAATCAAGGAGAGCAAAAACAGAGAAAGAAAACCATAAACTAGTTTCCCTAATTAATATTGATGCAAAATTTTTAAATAGAAAAATTAGTTTTTTAAGTAAAAAATGATTTTTAAATAAAAAACTAAAGGACACTATAGCAATATATCACAAAGATCATATACCATGACCAGGAAGATTTATACCAGGAATGCAGGGCTAGTTTAATATTATGAAAACTACAAGCATATCTGACTATATCAACAACAAAATCATGTGATTATATCAACAGATGCAGAAAAAGCTTTTGACAAAATATATCAATTCTGTTAAAAACACTAGAAGACATAGGAATAAATGGAGCTTTTCTTAAAACAATAAGTAATTTATCTAAAATCAACAGTATGCATTTTCTGTAATAGAGATAAACTAGATACCTTTCCAATAAGATCAGGGGTGAAGCAAGGATGTCCATTACCATCACTATTATTCAATATTGTACTAGAAATGTTAGTTATCACAATAACACAGGAAAAAGAAATTGAAGGAATAAGAACAGGCAATGAGAAAACAAAACTATCCCTCTTTAAAAATGATATAATGGCATGCTTAGAGAATCCTAGAGAATCTATTAAAAAACTAGTTGAAATAATGAACAACAAACAACTTTGGCAGAGTTGCAGGATATAAAATAAACCTACATAAATCATCAGAATTTCAGTATATTACCAATAAAACTCAGCAGGAAGAGATAGAAATAGAAATTCCATTTAAAATAATTGCAGACAATGTAAAAAACTTGGGAGTCTACCTGCCAACACACACCCAGGACTATATGAATAAAATTACAAAACACTTTTCACACAAATAAAGACAGATCAAAACAACTGGAAAATTTTAAGTGCTCATGGGTAGGACAAGCCAATATAATAAAGATGATAATACTCCCTAAATTAATTTACTTATTCAGTGCCATACCAATCAAATTACCAAAGAATTATTTTATAGAGCTAGAAAAACATTAATAAAATTTATCTGGAGGAAGAAAAGGTCAAGAATATCAAGGGAATTAATGAAAAAAAATGTGAAGGAAGGTGGTCTTACAAAACTGTAATCATCAAAGCAATCTGGTACTATACTTACTACAAAACTGTAATCATCAAAGCAATCTGGTACTGGCTAAGAAATAGAGTGATAGATCAATGGTATAGTCTAGGTACAAAATATACAGAAATAAATGAGCACTGCCACCTAGTGTTTGATAAACCCAAAGATCTAAGCTACTGGGGCAAGAACTCACTATTTGAGAAAAATTTCTGGGAAAACCAAAAAGCAGTTAGGGAGAAATTAGTCATAGACCATGATCTCACACTGTGTATCAAGATAAACTCAAAGTGGGTATGTGATTTAAATATTAAAGGATAATATAAGCAAATTATGAAAGCATGAAAAAAATTACCTGTCAGATCTATAGATAAGGAAAGAGTTTATGACCAATAAGAGAGAGGATCATAGGAGGTAAAGCAGGTAATTTTGATTACATGAAATTAAAAAGTTTTTGCACAAAGAAAACGAATGCAGCCAAAATTAGAAGGAAAACAGGAAACCAGGGGAAAATTTATAGTATTTCTCTGATTAAAAGCCTCATTTCTCAAATATATAGGGAACTGAGTCAAATTTATAAAAATAAGAGCCATTCCCCAATTGATAAATAGTCAAAGAATGGTGAGCAGGTAGTTTTCAGAAGAAGAAAGCAAAGCTGTCAATAATCACATGGAATAATGCTCTAAATCACTACTCACTAGAGGAATGCAAATTACAACAACTCTGAGGTACCACCTCACACCTACCAGATTGGCTAACATGACAGAAAATGAAAATGACAACTGCTGGAGGGGATGTGGAAAAATTGGGACACTGTTGGTGGGGTTGTGAACTGATCCAACCATTCTGGAGAACAAATTGGAGCTATATGCAAAGGGCTATCAAACTGGGTATACCCTTTGACCCAGCAATCCCAAAGAGATCAAAGAAAAAGGAAAACGACCTATCTGTATAAAAATATTTATAGTAGCTTTTTTTTTTTGTGGTGGCAAAGAATTGGAAACTGAGGAGATGCCCATCAATCAAGAAATGACTGAATAAACTGTGGTATATGACTGTGATAGAACACTACTGTGCTATAGGAAATGATGAGCAGGATGGTTTCAGAAAAATCTGGAAAGACTTACATGAACTGAAGTGAAATGAAGTGAGCAGAACCAGGAGAACAGTATACACAGTAACAACAATATTGTAAGAATTATCAACTATGAAAGACTTAATTACTCTGATGAAGACAATGGTTCAAGACAATTCCAAAGGACTCATGTTGAAAACAGAGAGAACTGATGAACTTGGAGTACAGACTGAAGCATATTTTTTCATAACATGACTAATATGGAAATAGGCTTTTCATGACTTTGCCTATATAATGGGTATTGTATTGTCTGCCTTCTCAAAGGGTGGGGAGGAGGCTGGAGGGCGTGAGAGAATTTGAACTCAAAATAAAATTTTTAAAAAATGCTTGTTGATTGATCAAATGAATATCAATTCCTCAAATTCCTCCAAACTTTCTAGTTTCTCTTGATGGCACCACTCTCATCTCTCATCGGTCAGGGTCAAAACCTCAGTTACTGTGATCCTTTGTTCTTTCCTTACCTCTCACATTCAAATCAGCTACGAAGACTCTAGTTGCCCAACCTTTTTTACATCCATCCCATTTACTTCATTCAAGGGTCACACCAGCTCAGGCCCTCACTCACTTCTCCCTCCCCGCTGGAATACTTCAATAGATTCTAAATTATAATTTTCCCCATTCCAACCTATGCTTTAAATATTTGCCAAAGGGATTCCCCCCCAACCCCTTGCTTTAATAAACTCCAGTGGTTCCCATTACCTTTCATATTAAATACAAATTCCACTGTCATTTAAAGCCCTTCACAATCATACTCCAACTTACATTTCCAAGCATATTGCAATGTTACACATGCTATACTCTAGCCAAGCTGGCTGAGACGCTGCTCCCCAAGTCCCCAATCCATCTTTGATCTCTGTGCCTTTGCTATGGCTAGCCTCCATTCTTGGAATGTTGACCCTCATCACCTCTGCCTCTTTAAGTTTCCCCTGGTTTTCTTTAAGGCTCAGCTCAAATCTCACCGTCTGTAGGAGGCCTTTCCTGGTTACACTCACCACCCCTATCCATCACCCTGCCCCTTACTAATGTCATCTAAGATTACCTTCTATTCACCCTGTCTGTATCTTGTATATACCTATTTACATGTTGTCTCCTTCATTAGACTGTGAGCTCCTTGAGGGCAGGCACTATTTGCTTTTCTTTGTTCTCTCTCCTCATCTCTCCCTCTTATGATCCCTAAGTTTCTTCAAGGTTCAGTGCAGAGATCACTTTCTACATGGGACCTTTCCTGGACCCCCCTAGCTAGTAGTGCCTTCTTCTCCAAGGTTGTCTCTCATCTAGAGATAGTATCCTAGAGCTACAAGGAAACTTGGAGTCACCTAGTCTAATCCCCTACCCCATTTCACAGATGAGGAAACTGAGGCAGGCTCAGAAAAAGAAATTACTTTCCCAATACCAACCAGTAGTAAGCAGTTGAGCTAAGAACTGAACCCAAGTAATCTGGTCCCAAATACAACATGCTTTTCCTTTGTTTCTCACTGTTTCCTCTCTGTTTTGTATATGTATGTATGTATATGTATATACATATGCATATATATGTACACTTACACACACACTCTATTGAGGGTAAAAACTATTTGTCTATTTCTCCCCAGCATTTACTAAGAACTCAATAAATATTTGTTTGCTTGATTGATGCGGGTTATGAGGGGTGAAAGTATCAAAGATAATAGCCAAAATTTGAATATGGGAAATGGGGCAAATGGTGGTACCATCAACAGAAATAATGGTATCAGAAAAAAGAAGAGGTTTTGAAGAAAGAAAATGAGTTTGGGACATGAGGCAACAATAGGCCACCCAGAGGGAGATGTCTTATAGGCAGCTGGAGAGGAATGTCTGGAACTTGGGAAATAACTAATGGTTAGAGATGGAGCTCTGGGAGTTATATGCATAGAGATGACTCCCGAAATCATGGCAGTTAAGGAACACTCAGGGCAGAGACTGTAGAGACAAGATTATGAGTTGTAAAAATAACAGGAGCTTAATGTGTCTAAAGAACACATGCATTGTCAGAAAGAAGCCTTTTCTTAGAGCGACTAATGAATTTTTAAAAGAATTCAGCTTTATTGACATCTTTGGTCGTTACATTATATTTATTTATAGATATTACCACCCCCTAGCAGTGGGTCTTCCTTTGAAAAAAGAAAACCCAAACTGTGACATCAAATGTAACATTCTGCATGGATGGTCTCCCACCTTGCCAAGAAAAGGAAGGAAGTACATTGTCTCATTTCTTCTCTGGGTCAATTCTGCCTCATACAACTATCACACAACTACTAATGACCTTTTCTTTATTGTGTTGGAGTGACAAAAAGAAGTGAGGTGGTCCAGGAGGGCCCTTTTGGTCTGTTCTGGTCCTTACTGATGGCAAAAAGCTTAGGAAACTTCCAAGGACAGGACTATGTCCTCACTTACCTGGGCAGGGAGATAGGGAAAGTGCCTGAAGACTCTGCACTATTCCTTAGTAAGAAAATAAGAGAACTCCTGGTCAGCTGACAGTAGCCAAAAGGGAAGTACCTAGGCTAGCAGATGGAAGAAAAGGAAGACATTGATTGTGCCCAGCAAGAGGCCTATGACTCTCTGCTGGAGTGACGGTAAAATTCACGTACCCATACTCAACAACCACGTGAAAGATGGGGATGGCTCAAAATGACTAATAAGAGAAATGCAAGTTGAACAACTCTAAGGTTTTACTTTACACCAAACTGTTAAAGATGACAAAATGAAAAAAAGTTGAAGCTGAAGGGGCTGTAGGAAAGCAGGCACACTAATATAGTGGTGGTGGAACTGTAAATTGGTTCAACCCTTCTGGAAGGCCATCTAGAATTATACAAGAAAAATTAATAAACTGTTCATATGCTATGACATCAATCCCATTCTTGCGTATATGCCCCATAGAAGTCTACCACTAATTCCAAAGTCACAATATAGTCAAAGCCGCACTTTTTTTGGCAACCAAAAACTGGAAACAAAAGTAGGTGTTCATGGATTGGAGAGTTGCTGAACAAATTGTTGTGGAATATCATAGCGTCCTATTAAATGATGGTAGAATCAAATACAATGAGTCCAGAGAACTTAGGAAGACTTAGGTGAACTGTGAAGCAAGCAGAACCAGGAGCCTAAAAGTGAGTATAACCATATAAAGGAAACAGAATAAAGCCAAAGAAGGAGTAACTGTAATGAGTAGTTTGGGACCCAAAGAAGAGAAGGAAATGAGCTCTCAGCAGAAGGAGAACACAGAATGTTAGACACATTCTCAGATGCTGATTGTTCTTTGATTAGCTGTTTCTTGTTCCAAGGAAGGGTTCACCTGGGATTTGCAAATGACTATGATGTAAGCATCAAAGCTATTAGTAAAATGTTTTTAGAGAAAGAATTTTGTACCTCCTCAACCCTATCCTTTGTAATTTTATGGGTTTTGCTCCCATTGCTTCTAATTTTAGAGACTACCCCCACTGCTTTTGGCTTTGTAGAAGGAAGTGAAATCTCATGGAACATAAACCCCAATTGTTTTTTAGTCAGTGATTTTCTGTCTCACTCCATTCCCTTATCCTAGCTCTGGTCTCCTCTATGCTCATCCAACCTACTGATGTCTGGTGCCTCTTAGGAAGGAGGATGGAAAGAGCCTTACTCACCGATTCACCACTCCAATAATGCCCAGCTTCACAGGGATGACTCGACCCATCAGCACATCCATTGCATCTGTCCCAGCATCCATGAGGTCCAGCTTAGTGATCACTGCCAAGGTCCTGTGACCTAAGAAGTAGGAAGGACAAGAATAGCTTGTGATCTCTAGGCCCAACTTCCAGAGGTGATTTTAGCGATTTAAGGAGGAATGGGACACCTGTCCCATGCATGAGCTGGATAGGGAGAGCTGAACATCCTCTGGACATAAAAGTTGCTCTCACATAATTTACCAACTGCTAAGGCCAGGACAGGTCCTATCAGGGGTGCAGCAAATGTGTATGTCAGGAGAATGGGAGATTTAGCGCCAAAGATAGGAGTAGGCAGCCCTAAATGGGAAAAGGGCACTGGCACCCTTCCTTGGTGTCTTTTCGTAATAATGATACCGATGTCCAGGAAAGGAAAATCCCAGGCTTAGGGGTGAGGCCTTGAATCAGAAAGCTGAAAGAAGCCACAGGTAGACAATCTGGTTCAAACTCCATGTTTTATAAAGGAAATAAAACCAAGTGGGTCAAATGCCTTGCCCAAGACCGTGTAGAGTTACTAGCCGAGCCAGGTCTAGCCAGTGGAATACTCTTTCCATTACTAGCTCTCCTCCACATACACACCCAAGCACTCCAAGTGCTGTACCTTCAGGAACCACATCCCGGGCAAGTTTCAAGGCTTCAGAAGTGGCCGTGTCTGTGTTGGCAGCAGTGACAGCCAGGATGAGACAACTGGGGCTACTGATGTAGGACAGGATCATGTCTCTGACCTGCACCTCGATGTCAGGGGGCTGGTCTCCCACAGGGACCTGGCAGGAGATAAGGATCAGAGAAAACCAGCTGCCCTTGGAAGCCCAATCAGGGACAGCCATGACCAGCCAAAGAGGGTGGGCAAGGGCAATGGCAGCTATGACAGATTAAGAGGTAATACTTAGTCCCAGAGTCAAACAGAACGATCTGCTTTTTCAGTTTAGGTGGAGGGAGAGAGAATACTCACCAAGTAAGGCATTGTTTTTTTCTTTTTTTGTGAGGCAATGGAGGTTAAGTGATTTGCACAGGGTCACACAGCTAGTAGGTGTCAAGTGTCTGAGGCCAGATTTGAACCCAAGTCTTCCTGACTCCAAGGCCAGAGCTCCATCTACTATGCCACCTAGCTGCCCCTAAGTAAGGCATTGTTAAGGCCATTCTAGGAAGGCCTCTGCCATCTCTACCCCAATCAATCAATAAACATTTGTTAAGTGCCTACTACGTACCAGGTACTATGCTAAGCTAGGTATACAAAAAGAGGCAAAAGACAGTCATTGCCTTCAAGGACCTCACAGTCTAATAGAAAAGACTACATGCAAACAAACATATACAAAGCAAGCTACATACAGGATAAAGAGGAGATAATTAACAGAGTTAAGGCACTGGAATTAAGAGGAGATGTAGAAGACTTCCTGTAGAAGGGGGGATTTTAGTTGGGACTTAAAGGAAGCCAGGGAGACTGGCAGGCAGAGTGGAGAAGAGAGAGTGCTCCAGCTATGGCAGACAGCCAGAGAGAATGCCTGGAGCCAGAGAAGGAGGGGCTTGTTCATGGAATAGTCAGGAGGCTGGTGTCACTGGATCAAAGAGTAAATGTCAGGAAGGAAGGCATAAGAAGTCCGGGAAGGTAGGAGGGGGCTAGGTTAGGAAGGGCTTTGAATGCCACATATAACATTCTGTATTTGCTCCTGGAGGTGACAGGGAGCCACTGGAGTTTATTGAATGGGGGCTGGAGTGAGGAGAGACTAGAGGCAGGTAGACTCCCCCCAACCCCAACAACTACTGTAATAGTGTGAGGTGATGAGGCCTGCATCAGGGTGGTGGCAGTGGCAGAGGAGAGAAGAAAGAGTATTAAAGAGTTGTTGCAAAGGTGAAAATGAAAGGCCTTGGCAAGAGCTTGAATATGCGGGGTGAGAGAGTGAGGAGTCCAGGATGCCTCCTAGGTTGTGAGACTGAAGAGTGGGGAGGATGGTGCTACCCTCTGCAGTATAGGGAAGGTAGGGGGTGGGGGAGGGTTTAGAGGGAAAGACAACAGTTCTGTCTGGGACATATTGAGTTTAAGATGTCTACTGGAATCAGGTTCAAGATATCTGAAAGGTGGTTGGAGATGTGAGACTGGAAGTCAGCAGAGAGGTTGGGGCAGGAAAGGTAGATGGGAGAATCATCAGCATAGAGATCCAGGGGAGCTGATGAGATCACCAAGTGAAGTAGGATGCAAGGTTTAAAGAACAGAATAAGTACTTAATAAATGCTTCTTTCAAGTGCCTTCTTTTCTTGGCTTGCCACTTCACATTCACCATGACTGACTGCTGCCCACCTTCCCTCTAGCTTTTTTGGCCATGGCTTCCACAACACTGCATTCTCATGATTCTCTTTTCACTTCTGATGCTGTTGCTTCTCTAGCTGGCTTGTCCTCTCATCCTTTAATTCTGGGTTGTGAACTGGGTCTTCTGTTCCCATTTCTCCCCCTTGGGGAGATTATTTAACTTCTAGGTCTTCAAGCATAACCTCTATACAGATCTCTACCCCAAATCTCTATAGCTCTAACCTCTCCTTAGAGTTCATCTCTCTACCTGAATACTGCTGACCCCCCGAACTCAACACATCTAAAATAGAACTAACCTGAAATTTGCCTCCCATCTTTCCCCCCATTTTTGTGGATGGTCCCAGCATCCTCTGTCACCCAGACCTATAAACTCAGAATCCTCTCTGACTTTTCCTTCTCCTTTATTCCCTATACCCAATCAGCTGCCAAATCCTGGCCATTTTACTTCAGCAATCTCTCCATTGCCACTACAACCGCCAGAGTTGGCCTCTTCGGACCACCATCCCTTCTGGCCTAGACTATGAGAATTGCTGGTCTTAACTCTCTTCAATCTCCCCACTACAATCTAGCCTTCTTACCTTTTCTCAATCTTCTGAAAACACCACTCTGATTACAGGATAATGGATTGAAACCTGGGAAAGACCTAAGTCTCCAACCCAGAATCTTTAGTGGCTCCCCATTTCTTACAGAATTCAGTAATTCAGTATTCACATAAGAATTCAGTAATTATAAACTCCCTCCACAATCTTGTTTCAAGCTACTTTTCTATCTTTGCCTCATACTCCCCTTTGTGTATCCTAGTCAAAGTGGAATACTTTCTCTCTCCAGCTCTGGTTGTGCCCTATGGGAAGACTTCCCCCATCTCTTTGGATGCTCAGAGTCCTTTTTTTCCCACACACACAAGTGAAATTTCAGAAGGAAGCAAAGAGCAGAGACCTCCTTACCAGACTCACAAATGGAGAAGGACTTAATGTGTACCTCACCTCCTCTATTAAACTGCTCAATCCCTTTGGGTATCCCCCACCCCACTTGACACAGAGCTTGTGTCTAATCCATCATGACTTGCTAAAGGAATGATGAAGTCCATGAACTATCATGAAATGGTTAGACAACAGGAGAGAAGGTGAAAGCCAGTCCACCCTACTGTACAGGATTCAGGGAGAGAACATACCTTGGTGATTCCAGGCAAGTCAACCAGAGTCAAACTGAGGACTTTTGAGGAACAGATTTTCAGGTACAAAGGCTCAGGACTGATCCCCTGGAGGATAAGAGTCAAGGTCAGACCCACTGTGCTTAGAAAGGGACAGGAGTAAAACAGAGAAGTATCTCCTGCATTTACCTTATTGGTACCGGTGACCTGATCTGTCTCATTAGAAATTTCCTGTTGGATTTCATTAAAATCTGTAAATGACTGGAGAGGAAAGAGAATTATTCATTTGGAGAGGTTTCGAGTTAGAAGTCACTCAACAAAGACATGTCCTCTGCTCTCAGTCAACACTGGGGCAGGGGCAGCATTACTCCCCGACTTCCCACGTAGCCAGTGGGCTCATGGGTGAGCAGGGAAAAGGTGAAGTCCATAAGAAGGAGAGGAAGATTCCCACCAATGATCCAGTTTTGCAAATAGGCTGGTTTGGAGTGGGTTGGATTACCTTATGTTTGCAATGCAGGAAAGTGGCCCATTCCTCTGCTTGGACACCTGTGTGGACAGGAAGAAAGGGGAAGGTCACTCCCTTGTCATTACCAATTACCTCTTAAGGGGAGGACAGTGGGATGAAGGGACACCTGCCCAGGGCAGAGCCATTTCTATCACCTATTCCAAGACACAGCACCATTTTGGTGAAGTAGAAGGAATGCTGCATTTGGAGTCAGAGACCTGTGTTCAAATCCCAGCTCTACGACATCATCTTTGTGGCCTCAGGTTAAGTCTGGGCCTCATTTCCTTATTTGTAAATTGAGCAGGTTGTACTTGAAGGTCAATAAGGTGTCTTCCAGCTCTAAACCTATGAGCCTACAGGGCTTGGGCACAGGTTACATTCGTTAGCTACATTCTGGTGTGGTCCAGTCTTTCAAGTCAGGAGGTAGCTGTGGCCCTGCTCTGCCTCCCTCCCTTCCTTCCCCCGCCCCCATGCCCATTTCCCTTATCCTCACATGTCTCTGAGGTTGCTGCTTGCTTCCGTTCCTCCAGGGAGGCTACGTGCACCAGCTGGAGGATCAGGGGTCTCCGAGTCACGATTCCAGAACCTCTTGGAAGAAACTCCTGGCCCACAATGCTTTCCAGAACAGAGCTCTTTCCACTGCTCTGTAATAACACAAAGGTAAAGAAGATGGCTTAGGGATTTTTATTTTTATTTTTATTTTTTAGGCAATTGGGGTTAAGTGACTTGCCCAGGGTCACACAGCTAGTAAGTGTCAACTGTTTGGTCTGAGGCCAGATTTGAACTCAGGTCCTCCTAACTTCAGGGCTGGTGCTCTATCCACTGTGCCACCTAGCTGCCCCTTTTTTAAATTTAAATTTAATTTTTATTTTTATTTCTTTTTTCTTTTTTTTCTTATTTTTTTCTTAGGGATTTTTGGGAAGTAGCTATTTCCTATGCTTCCCATTACCAACTTCTACTTGGAGCCAAGCCCAGCTAAGTCACCCTTCAAGTTAAATACAGGGCTGCAGTAGGGTACAGCAGAAAAAGCACTGGATTTGGATTTAGAAGGTCAGGGTTCAAGTCCTCCCTCTGCCACACTGGACAAGTTTCCCTGGGTCTCAGTTTCCTCATCTGTAAAACGAGGTTGTAGTTTAGCTAGCCTTTCAAACCTCTTCTAGCTAGTCTGAATCTAGGATCCTACAGCAACTCCAGGCTTTTCCAAAGGAGGGAGGCCCCCAACACCCTCAGAACCTTCTCAATGAGGCATGGAGTAGGGGACTACCTATCCCTGCCCCACCTGCATAGGAAAGCAAGCTCCTGGGCCTCCCTGACAATACCCAGTAGGCACTCCATATATGGCTAAAGGTAGCTGAGGCCCACCGGATGGGGGCGCACCTCAGCTTCTGCTTCTCTCAGAGCCCAGCCCCAGGGCTTGGCCAGTTATGGCTGCCATTCCAAGGGGGCCAGTCAATGGGTTGTGAGGGGCAGAGGGTGAGCAGGAGAACCCAGGGGGATGCTGGAGAGGGGAGGAGCCGGAGGAGCAAGGTGGGAGGGACCAAGAAGGAGCAGCCTGTCCCTCCCTGACCAGGCTGGGGGAGGGGAGAATGAAGCGCCTAGCAAAGTGAGGGGGATGGGAGCTAGGCCCGAGGGGGTGGGATGGAGGGAAGAACTAGGCCCCCAGCAACCCTCCCACCATCCCCAGGGCAAGAGAGTAGGTGGCACCTGGGAGCCAATGACCACGATCTGCGGGAGCTGGATGGCCTCCGTGCCCACTATGTTGAAGATCTCTTGCAGCTTATTGATCACGGGGATCAGGGTCTCCATGGCGGTCTCGAGGCTGGCAGCTCCAGAATTGGCTCAGCCAGGATCTGAAGAGAGAAAAGTTGATCTGCATCAGATGAGATCTGCTGTCGTCATCAGGCTGCCCCCGATCCCAGCAAAGCCAAGGTTGGGGTGTGGTTTCGGACCCCCGGATGGACCTCCTCCCCGCCCAGCACCCACTTCCCCACCTGCACTAAGAAGCTCCACTCACCAAGCGCCCTTCCACTTGTTCTTCGACGACCCTGTATGGGTCGTTGTCATTGGTTGAACTTCCCCTAGCCCCACCCCTGGAGTCCCTCTAGCTGGTGAGGGTAGGCGCTCTGCAGGGCTTCTTAAACTTTTTCCACACTGGACACCTTCAATGCTCTTTAAGCTGTGGGTGACCCCATATGGGGTCCTGACCTAGAGCAGGCTCAGCCCCACCAGGGAATAAGCTAGAGCTTGAGGCTGAATTCTGATTGGCTAAGACCTCTCCCCCCTTTCCCCTCAACACTAGGTCCAACCTCTCAGTCCTCAATCCCAGCCCTTCTCACCTCTATTGAGGCTTGCCTAAGGCAGCTGGTGGTCCTGTGAACAGAGAGCTGGGCCTGCTGTCAGGAAGACCTGAATTCAAATCCAACTACAGACACTTCCTAGCTGTGTGACCCTGGGCAAGTCATTTCACCTCTATTTGGCTCATTTACCTCTGAGAGTTGTTGTGTGGATCAAATGTATGGTAGGTGCCATATAACTGCTCATTCCTTTCACTGGTTTTTCTTTTCTTTTTTTCTTTTTTTTAACTTTGAGTTCCAAATTCTCTCCTTCCCTGCACCCTCTCCTCCCCACATTGAGAAGGGCAAGCAATATATATGCAAAATGCAAAACATATATATATATATATATATATATATATATATATATATATATATATATATATATATATATATATATATATATATATATATATATATATATAATTCAAAACATATTTCCTCATTAGCCAGGATATGGGGAAAAAAGCAAGAAAAATAAAGACAAAAAAAGTAGAGGGCTTCGATCAGCACTCCGAGCCTATCAGTTTTTATGGTGGAATAAAGAAATGGAGTAATCATATCCAGGCAACAATTTATTTGACAATGTATACAATTGCAAAACAAGCCAGGTCCAAGGCTCTTGGTTGCCAAGGACCCAAAAGCTTAGTTTCTCACAGTTAATATACAATGTGTAGGGAGTGAAAAACAGGAAACACAAGATTGTAGGCATTGAGACTTCTGATTTTTCATTGGTGGAGGGGAGTTGGGAGACAGTGAGGTGAGAGGGAAAAGGGTATTCTTCTGATATTCTTTAACTAAGGTGACAGTGGGGAAGAGGAATACTCTTGTGAAACCTCCTAAATCAAATGATTTACATGGAGTTGAAAATTAACTTCACAAAATGGTGGACAAAAAATAAAATGGAGTCATTAATGTTAATTTTTAATGTAACATTCCCCTCATTGACCCTGAGGTTTTCACCCCACAAGGATCATTTTTTAAAATGCTTTATTAGGGACTTCTAAATGGAATGAGAGTCTACCTTGAGAGGCACTAACAAGTGGGACCTGAGATATAGTGCAAGCAGAGTCATGATGATACCTCCTAAGAAAACAAATCTTGTTAAATACACTCTACGGGTAAAGTAAGTCAGGCTACAGATCAAACTACTTAGAGAGCTTATCATGGCCTATTTTTTTTTTTTAGTAATTCTTTTTTTTTTTTTTTTTGGCTAGGCAGTGGGGCTGAGTGATTTGCCCAGGGTCACACAGCTAGTGTCAAGTGTCTGAGACCGGATTTGAACTCAGGTTCTCCTGACTCCAGGGCCAGTGCTCTATCCACTGCACCACCTAGCTTCCCCTATCATGGACTAATTTGAGAAGGGAGATTTACATGTCACCAAGGTAACCAAGAAAATTCAGCAAGCATAAACACTGTGAAATAACATCAAATCTCTTTGTAACTTGGTAACCTACTCCCAATGTCCATTTAATCAGCACATTTCATCTTTTTATTTATTTTTTATTTTGGGGCAATTGGGGTTAAGTGACTTGCCCAAGGTCTGAGGCCAGATTTAAACTGAGGTCCTCCTGACTTCAGGGCTGGTGCTCTATCCACTGCACCACCTATCTGCCCCCCACTGCGAATTTCATCTTGAGTCCCAAATATCTCAGGTAGTTGCCTGATCCCTGGAAACATCTTCCCCTGGACATTCTGGAATAGATCTTCTCAGGGCAGCTCTGAAGAGGGCTTCTTGTAGATCTGCTTCTCTGGTTCCAAGTCATTTGCAGAGATTACTAGGTAATTCTGCTAGAATCTGCCAGTACAACTCAGTACAATACAAATTTCTATAGTTCACCTGCTCTGATTGTAGAAATTTGCTAGGAAAGGAAAAGGAGGGATATGATTATGATGATATCAAAGGGAAAAACTCTCTTAGCTCTGTTTGATTCCAGGCTAGAGTCATATCTGACAGCCAGTAAATGCAGCAAAGTTCCATATTTATTCACAGAGTATCAAAAGCTGAATCAGAATTAATCAGATGGAAAAATTTTGAGTTCAGAAAGGAAAGAGTACTATGGGAAACTGAGTCAAGAGGATCCTACCTCAGCTTACGCTAAGGTCATCCATCCCCTCAACTTTTCCTAGGGACAGATGTCCACCTGTAGTAGTTCAGGATCAAGCTCCTTTTGGGCAGAACATGGCATTCCCTTTGAATGATGGATTATTGGATTAATGACAGTTCAGACAGCCATACCTGAAATCAAAGCTTAGTACAATATCAAATGACAATTCCAAGAGATTTTACCTCAAATAGCAAAATTTCACTAATCACCGCTTTTGTTGCTGTTATTCAGTTGTTTCAGTTGTGCTTGACTCTTCATGACCCCACTTGGGGTTTTCTTGGCATTTGCTTTGGAATTTGGAATTTGCTTTGCCATTTCCTTCTCCTCCTCATTTTACAGATGAGGAAACTGAGGCAAAGAGGGTTAAGTAACTTGCCCAGGGTCACACAGCTAGTAAGTGTCTGAGGCAGAATTTGAATTCAGGTCCTTCTGACTCCAGACCCAGCACTTTATCCACTGCAGTGCCACACAGGTTATTTTTTTTTCCTTATTACAACAGTAAACAATTAGCACATATAATGATATCTTATTTATCCTTCATTTATAATTTAAGAATAATTCCAGAGTTTTACCCATACAATGAATATATCATAGCCAACTACACATCCCAGAGGAGTCAGTAAGCCTCAAATCTGTATTGCCTATTAACCCCTGAAGCAAGATTGAAATCTTTGAATCTAAGGTCTATTATTACTAAGTTGGTTCAGAGATGTAACTTCAATACAGATTATTTGTTAACAGGTAGAATTTCATAATTTTTCATAACTGACAGCCAAATAATCTATCAGGTAAAAATCATTGTTTATTATAAGGAAACTAGTAAGCTTCCAACCTTGACTGGGTGTGGTTTCAGTATCACAAACTTCAGTACTTAACAATGGTTCTTCAGAAGGGCAGTAAGATTTTATAGCCTTGTGCAAATAAAAAGTCCCAAGGAACCTCACAGGTAAGGACAACTTAAGAGATGTTTGCTATATATTTTTTTCTTAAACAGTAAGTTATTATTATCCATTTTAAAGCAAAAATACCCAATTAAATATTTAAGTTTTCAGAAATTTTTACTGCATTCTTTAATAGCAAAATTCATATCCAACAGCATTCAAATGAAAAGGGAAGTTACTTTCCCCAAATTTCACAATATAAGAAAACATCTTAGAAACACAGTAATAGCATACATGATATCATGCATTTAAAACATGAAACGAACTTGTTACCAGGTGAGTGAAATAAATTCAGTTGAATGCATTTCCAAATAATCTTACGTAGAAAATGATTTATCATTTTTTGCATTCTATATTAATCACATCTAAAACCAAGTATAGAGTAATCCAATATGGAATAATCACACTCAATTAAAATAATAATGATAACAATAATTAACATTTATATAGTGTTTGCCACATGCCAGGCATTGTGTTAAGCACTTTGAAATTATGTGATCCTCACAACAACTCTGGGAGGTGAGTGTTATTATTATTATTAGCTAGGCAATGGGGTTATTATTTTCTTTACAGATTTGGAAACTGAAATAAACAGAGGTGAAGTAAATTGCTTAAGGTCACACAGCTAATAAGTTTCTGAGACTGGATTTTGATTTGTATTAAGTTCTAACTTACCACAATTATCCTAATAGGAGAATGGATCTCACTGTAAGTGAGTCTACATAATGATTTAATTTCAGAACAAAATTTCAACGAAATCAAATCTAGATTTATAATCATTAATAGTAACATTTAAATCTCAATTTTCCCAAGGGCTTACTGTTTTCACTTAGCTCATGTTCAGAAAATTCGAATTGGACTCCCTTTTCCCTATAACTTTTTCTTTATTTCTGGTTAAATTACCCAAAGAGCCAAATCAATTCCTTTGTGTTCTTAATCCAGCCACACCTTTCCCTGAAGCTTTTCAACTGTATTCCAGGAAGGTCAAAGAGGACAGGGCAAGTAGGCAGGAAAAGCTACTTATTGAAAAAGAAAGAAGATGCTATCCTTAAACAATTCAATATTGCAAACATAGTTCTATATTTTCCATATCATAAAGAATAACTAGGGGCAGCTAGGTGGCGCAGTGGATGGAACACCAGCCCTGAAGTCAGGAAGACCTGAGTTCAACTCTGGCCTCAGACCAAATACTTGACACTTCCTAGCTGTGTGACCCTGGGCAAATCACTTAACCCCAATTCCACCCCCCCCACCAAAAAAAAAAAGAATAACTAAAGTTTTCCACATCCTTCTTATCTCAACAAGATCAAAACCTCCCTCAAATCTCTTTTCCCAAAATTCCAAAACCCCTTTACTTTTTTTTTTGTTAGGCAATGGGGTTAAGTGACTTGCCCAGGGTCACACAGTTAGTAAGTGTTATGTGT